AACACGTAAGTATAGTAAATAAAAAGTCTAAGTCATTCTAGCCTAACACTAGGTTTAACTAACACTATATAGGGAATGTTTATATACTTTCTGACATTATTTTATGCCTGCGCTAATATTTTTTCCAAAATTGTTTTGAAACTGTATATTTTGTTCCTTGTTTTTTTCACTCAGCAGTACATCATGGGCATTTTTCCTTAACAGTGCATATAAATCCATCTCACCCTTTGCAGTGGTGAATCCCACTGTTCAGGTGTACAATGACTTACTTTACCAAACTCCTTTTGACGGAGATAAAACTCTCCTCCAACTATTTGCCGTTAAATTAACAAAATCCTAACATTCACTTCTCTAAACCGGTCCAATCGTTTTCTTAGGATAAGCATACCAAAATGGAATTACATAGGATCCGCACATTTTACACTTTGGGACACACTGCCGAATTGTTTTCAAAAAAATGGTATACCAAGGTATACAATCAAACTTGGAGATTTTCACACAGCTTAAAACTGGAACAGTTTTTCAAAAAGTTCAAGTTGTCATCTCAAATGAACTTTAAGAAATTGACAACTGAACTCTAATGTTCATTTGGGCCACTCCTAAATACTTGTTTTCAGTGTGGTATAATATTTATTTTCCTTAACTATGAATGGAGGCCACAGGCTCGAGCTCACATAAATAACAATATTCATATAGCACTGTAATAATTCTCCTATAAATTCATGAGATTAACAGGAAATATTTATTTGCATCTCTACTTGGTTTGGATAATTTGAAGTCTTATCAAATGTCCACAGCTGACTCTGAGACAAGGTCAATATCATCAATCAGATGATCAATGGATTATCACTAGCACAAACTTACACCAAATAACAACCTGTCTGCTCTAATCCTCAGGTCAATTCGCTACACTTAGCAATCCAGTACTGGTACAAATTCTTAAAAAGCCAACATGCAACCACTGTTGTTCTGACAATTTCTTTTATATTATAATTGTAAAACAATGCTTTATTGTAATGTGCCAGGGTATTCTAATGCATATTCCTTAAGCAACTTTCAGTACAGTAATATTGAATAGTAAGGTAAAAACAAGTATAAGATATACGAGAAAGCTTTTTAATATTTTAACCAAAAACACCACACTTTTAAATGGATGGTGATATTCCCTATGTAATCATTAAGTCATAAACGAATACCTCTAAATACACAGTTTTGCTTAATACAGTTTTAAATCGGGCCAAGTATGAGTTACATAGACAATTCTATTAAGTGTAATCTTTCCATATATCATTTCCATATACACCTGTCAATACAATAGCAGCGACTCAAGAATAAATGATTCATTAGGCACTTAAAACTTCTTGTCTCATGTAATTTATCTTTATAATTTTAAATTACTAAAGAATCCCAAGGATCTTTTCTTACTAAAGTATTTTGAAATGATCCATATTTCATTAAGTTTCAAGAACAACCCCCCACACACATACCCACACACTCGAAATTAAGTAACCATTAAACTTACTGTCATAATTCATATATCCATAAGGGAGAAAAACTAATTCTAAATTTAGATAGTTACGTCCAGCGAACCATTCATCCTTTTTCACCTGTTACACAATAACTAACGATCACAAAGAGTTGAAGCTGTCTTTTTTAATTACCTGAAACAAGAGAACACCACTTTTGGGTTTTCGTTGTTTAGTCTTCCTTTATAAAATTATGTGTGTGTGTGCATGTGCGTGTGTCTGCGTGTGTGTGTGTGTGTGTGTGTGTGTATGTATAAGGGCACAGGTATTCTTCAAGTTATCATGGCAATTTCTGACATCATTACCAAAATAAAAACTTGGTTTGACCAAATATTAAAATATTGACATTACAAATCTGTTAACGTACAGCTCATTTCACACATTTGTGTACTTTTAAAATTCACTTCCATTTGATTGACTATTTTAATCCTCCTTAACTAGTGAGTAAGTGAAAATAAATGGTGTGTTCCTAATACCAGAAATACGGAAAAGAGAAAGTACTTTGGGTCTACAGGGAAACCTATTAAAACCAGCCCGTTTTCCAGTTAACCTACTCTGATTCTGTTTGTGTACTAACCCACTGTACTGAGAAGACAGATCTCAAATTCACGGGCTCGCAAAAACATTGTCCCGATTTCATGTTTTGACAGCAGAAATTGGCCCAAATCTCCAACCATTTCCCCTACAGGACCCTGGCCGGCTGGTGCCATCCAGGTGCGGCACAGTCTGACAAGGGGAACGTCGCGTCAAATTCCACTCATCTGTCAGTGTAGTGGATTATTTCTTGAGAGACTGAAATTGGCTACTTAGGATGGGAAGACCATCAATCTTCCTGTGTAAGGGATGGCGAAGGGGCTGCCGGTAAGAGGCTGGCAAGAGGGGGACCAGCCGCTCCTAAGCAGGTGAGGAGGCAGCTGTAAAGCCTTCCCTCTCCCCCACTCAGGGCTCTGAGGGAAAGATTTGTCATTTTTCACATTTCCCGGATACTTGGTATGCACGCTGTGTCCGCCTGCTCCTGCTTTATGAAAGAGGCGATTTTTCAAGCTTAGGCAAATGTGGCAAAGCTCAGGGTCTGCCTGGTGTCTCATTTTTTCTCATCATGTCACTTGTTTTAACTGATTTGAGAAAATGAGATTATGTTTTTCCTTTTTGCTCATTTATCCAGCTATTTATTTATTTATTTGCTCATTTAGGGGTGGATTGTCACAGATAACCGGTCCTGATTTCTCTCTTGTTTTCATACACATTTCATTAGTGTCCCTGAAGATTTAAGGCCCACAAAGGGAAACATCACAACTCTCATCACGAAAAGCATATATTTACTCTTAAAATCAAAACAGATTGTATTAAAGGAGATTGTATTTCTGACTGAAAGAATCTAGAATATTGCTATGTCCAAGATCTATCGCTTTAATCTTCACAGCTATTTTTGAAAACCCAAGAAAGTTGAATAAACCTATTACGTAGAACAATTGGACTTTCACTCTGATATCATTTGAATCTTTCTGCATCGAGAAAGGAGTAGATATAGTTTCTTAATTTCATCAATGAATCTGAAATGGATCTCAAATGTGTAAGCACTTGAGTTGAAATTGGTTTGGGCACTAAAATTTCTTAGGGTATTTGACACACGGATCAGCCACGCATGGATGATGATAAGCAACTTCTGTCAGTTGACAGTGGAGAAAACAAACACTGAGTTTCATTTTAGTCAGAACTTAATGTTTCTCAGTTTAAGATTATAATATTTTGATAACAAGCCCCCTAAGGATTTACTTACAAGTAGCATGGCCATAACCCCTGACCAAAAAAACCTCATGTATTAACTGATTAACAGCGATAGTCTAAGTGAAAGCGCGCATTGCAAAGCGTACTATATTTCACAACTATACAAACTGAGTGTAACAGACACATGGCAATTGGTGATATATTCTAGCCAGGTATCAAAGAGCTAAAAAAACAAACAAAAAACATTCACAAGAGTAAAACGAGATTTTTGTCCCAGGTGGATTATTAGCTTTGTGCACAGCAAAACTTGACTCATTCAGCGTTTCTGACAAGTACCTTTGCAGTCCATTAAGGGGACACGTCAGTAATCGCTGATATTTATGAAGAGCTTCACAGGTTTGCAAAGCACTTCCGCAAAGACGATTTTATTTACGCCCCCGTAATATCCCTAAATGGGAAACTGGGCTCAGAGAAGAAAAGTGACTTTCCCAAGGTCATGCCATCTGATGTTAAGTCACAGACAGGAGGACCGGCCTGAGCTCCACACCAACCAAGGACACCACCGATCGCCTCTGCCGGGGGCCACCCTTCAGAATGGGTTTGCAATTTAAAAGAGTCCAGGAATTAACATAGCTTGGAAGTTTTCACAAATTATGGAAAACCGTTCAGACCTCCTCAAAGAGGCTACCTGGCATGGCCATTCTGTGCCCTGGGAGGCATTACCCCCTCCCTGGGAAACAGGGCAGGGAGGTGACATCAGACCGTCCTGACTTCCACTGGCAGTTATTGGCTGTGCCTTCTCGCACTAGTCACCAGATCCCTCAGAACTTCGGTCTCCTGGGCAACAGGATGGGGGGGGGGGAGGGAGGGCAGCGCTACGTTTGGGGCGGTGGGGTGCAGAACCTACTTGCATGGGGACTAAGACAACGTGACACTGTGCCTGAAACAATCACAACAGTTACGTCTGTTAGGAAGTCTTATTGTTCAGTATTACAATGCATGAAGATTTCCCGCGTTATTTGTACGGCTGTAACAAGTCAAAAGCATTTTCGCCACAACAGACTGGCGATTAACTGACTAACCTGAAGATTCCAAAACCTACGTTTGTTCTTCCTCCACCTCGGCGCGGAAGCCTGGGGGTGTGGCGGTCCCCGCTCGGGGTTCAGGACCCACGAGGCAGAAATGCGAGCGCGCGGCAGGGGCGGCAGAGCGGTTTCTATGCCCGCCTGCAGGGGCACCAGCGCCCGCTCGCCTTCCCTCCCAGACCCGGGGCGTGGGGAGTGAGGATGGCTGGGGCCCAGACGCAGCCCGGGGTTCAGGCCGCCCCCAGCCCCTCCCCCCGCCCCCGCCCCCGCCCCCTCCCCCTCCTCCCACGGTGGCCCGGCTCCTGCGGCTCGCGCGCTCCCCTGCAGCCCGGTGCGGGCGCGCGGGAGGACCCAGGGCTGCACCCTCGCGCGCTCCTTCCTGCCAGCAGCCCGGAATCAGCCGGGGGAGGCAGCAAGCGGCGCCCCGAGAGATGGTGCTGGACGACTGTGCCCAGGAGCCCAGGATTGGTGCCCAGGCCGCTTGCGGAGCCAGGGAACGGCTAAGGCGTGGACGCTGGACCGCGCAGCTGGAACGAGCCGAACGTTTGGGAGGAGGCCAGGAAGAATTTGGAGAGGGTCTGGAGGGCTGGGAGCGTTTCAGAACTGAGGATCTGGAGCTTGCCGCGCAACTAGTCCCCCCGAGCCGGGACTTGGAGATGAGGGTGGGGGGAGGAGTGGGGGGGGGGGACAGGCGCAGGTGGAGGGGGGAGTAAACCAACGCAAAGGCTGAAATTAAACAGAATGTGGAAAGAAATCTTTTCAGACAACCAGGGAAGGGTAAGGACAATCGAGCTGGGGGACAGTAACGAGAAAGGCAAAGAAGGAGAAAAAAAAAAAATCCAGACTGAAGAGTGAGGCCATGGAAGGATGAGAAATGTACTTGAAACAGAAAGGCAAAGAAAGAAAAATACGTCCGGAAATCAAAATTCAACATGGGGGGAAAATCAGGCTACAGGCAACGTGTTCCTGAAAGTGTCAAGAAAGAGAGAGAGAAAGAGAAAGAAAAAAAAAAAAAAAAAAAAAGCCCCCGAACAAACTGGAAGAACAGAAAGTGAAGGGAGAAAGGAAAGGAGACAAATTAAACCAGACAAGAAATAGTAAGTTATTTTTAAATTTCTTTCTCATTGACAAACTACTTCCAAAGTTAATTTTGGCACATACATCCCCCCAAAATTCTGAGCTGCATAGACACCGACATTAGAGTATCTACACTTAGATAGACTATCCCAGGAATATATACACATTATTTTATTGGTAGCAAAGATCATGTTTTGCCTCTAAAAAATCCTCAAGTCTTGCAAGTTATCCCCCCTTGTGCAGAATATTTTGCTCTTTTACCCCAAAAAACCATGACTTCTACTTTTTAAGGCGTGAGGAAGAGGGAAGGGAGATCTCAGCGAAGACCCTTTTTTGTTTTGCTTTGTTTTTTTCCTGAGAAATTAATAGAAATACCTCTAAGACATTTTAGGATCCCCCCCAAGCATCCAGCCAACAATATGTCTTGGAATTCAGAGGCAAGCTGCCCGCATCATAGCACTTTCTGTCACTTACATTCCACCATCTGTTAAGGTGACAGCAGCGAGACTGGAGGCTGCATTGGAGCCAGCTTCCGACTTACCTGGTCTGTGCAGGTGGTGCTGCTGGAAGGTGTGCTGAAGGGTTCCATGGCACAGGAGCACTGCACAAGCACTTATCCACAAATACAGGACCCAGGACATTGCAGAGACCATTGCCATCCTCTAAAGACAACATGAGACAGCAAGGATTACCTCCAGCTTCAAGCCCCCAGCTCAGTCAGTCCCAATGATGAAAGAAGGAAGGGGGGGGGTCTCAGACGTCATGTCCCCTTTGCTACTTTGCTGGCTGGAATTAATAACCCAGCAGAGGTCATGCCATGAAGTGGGACTGAGGGAAAGCTCTCTCCAAGAGATCGTGAATTCTTTTTGAAATTCTGCAAAACCCAACTCCAAGGCTTGCCAAAACACAGAAATAAATTCAAGTTTTTGCCTTTGGGTTAGGCAGTTTGCAACATAGTATCCTGACTATACATCCTGTTTTGCGCAATGATCTTTAAACTATAGTTATTCCAGGCAGTGAAAAGCTGCAGACTCCTGTTCCTTCTAACTTCATTGTAAGTCTGACATAAGCCTGAAAGGAAAGAGTGGATTCTTTTTTTTTTTTAATTCTACAGTCATGAATTTTTAATCATTCTGCTGTCTTCTAAACTAAGTAATCATTTCTCAGAGGCATGTTGTAATCTCCTGATAGAACCGGTCTTTCTGGCTGGACTTAGAATCAGAAGGAATTGTCTTCAGCCAAAATGAGTTTCAGATGCAACATCTATGCTTCTATCCTAGAGCGAGCCATAATTTACAATATTGCTTTGCCTTCTAAGATCCCATTGTGGCATGTGTTGTATAGTGTTGATGAATATGCATATACAGGTGGTGTATGTATTTATGGATGAACATGTACCTTTTCTCAGGCGCTGAAACTTTGACAGTCTTATCTGCACCTATAAGGATCTTAGGAGCTACAGAGACTGAACTGTGCTACATATTGTCCAATTTCTCAAACAACACCTTATGCTGCATTTCATATTGCCAAATTAATCAAACTTGAAGCACCGTCCTTACTCAGCCAGTGATATGGAAGCATTTTCTCTACAAGAATCCAGTTAAGTGTATGCTTTTCTCTTAGAGCTCCGGAACCCAGATTGTTCCTTTTTAACATTTTCTACTGTCAAATTACACACTACAAGTATTTCAACTATACATTTAAAATCTGCTAGTGACCTCCCAGTGTGGTTTCTTTATTCACGGAAATTGGCACTCTTTCAAAAACTGTGATGTTCAGAAAGCAGAGAGATATAGATATATAGATACACACACACACACACACACACACATATATGTATATATAGACATAATAGAAGATAATTTATGGGCTTTAGGAGAGAGATGCAGTCTTTAAGAAGGGTTTAGGACTATAATAGACAAATGGTGACAACCATAATTAAGTGCAAAGTAGGAAAACATTATTTGCAACAGCATGGTGCCTTTCATGCCTCACTGTGATTCAGATGGACCATTGACTTTATAATTACTTTCACTGCCCACTGTTTACTTTTGTAGACAACAGATTTAGCTTCATTGTCTTCAGAACTATCAATATAACATAGATGCATTCTCTTCAGCAGAGATAAATAGCAACACCCCTTTTGTGAACCTTGAAATGAATGCGTTTGGGGGCCTTTTTCAAATACCCTGCAAATTGTAGAAAGACAAAATAGAGGTGACTGTGGCATGCATTGACTACTTGTGAATTTCAGTTAAAATGCACTAGGAATTCATCTCAACTTTCAAAAAGCCTACCACAATCAAAACTTAACAGTTTTTCAATGACTGTGCTTTCTCTTGCTCATTTATTCACCCACATATATTTTAGCACTTAAAAAGATTACTGTGACTTCACATTTGCAGTATTTTCCTTCTTTTTCCTTTTTTAATTTAACTTTCTTTCATTCTTAGCATCACTTCCAAGGCTCGTGCATTATCACTCTCATGGCTTACTCTCACCAAGAGCTTGTCTCCATGTTAATAAGTGTCTTCCACCAAAATAATGCATCCAGCCTTACATAGTTCTCTAGATATGACTGAACAGGTTACAAATCTGTTTTCTGAATCTTAAATCCTTAAAGAGGCTTCTTACCTGAAAAATCCAGCCAAGAGCAGAGTACTCTATTAGTGTTCATTGGAAAGCTCTAACACTTTCTAAAATCCATCTGTGCACAATTGGAGATTTTTTTTTTTTAAAAAGAGCTTCCCAATAATCTTCTTTATCAGGATTAAAAAATATGTTTTTTCTTCCAATGCTATTTCCACAGTAAAGAAGACATCGGGTGCATTCAGACTGTATTGTCAGAAAAGGAGCCAAGGTTTGAGGGGTGGAAACCTTGTCATTTTCACCTTTAAATCATCTCCTGGCGTCACCTCTGCCTGATGAGACCTTTGAAGGGATGGTGGAATAATGTGCAGTTTCCTGATGAGAGTCAGTTTACAGTTAATGACGGACCATCCCCGGTCCTGTGCATTCAGGGCAGAGTAAGGCAGCAAAATGCAGGAGCAGGGCTGCTATACGGTGCTGTAAGTAGCAGTAGTCTGGTAGTCTGTTTCGATACATCCCTCCTCTGTAAAGTATCACATGTCTTAAAGTGACATTACCCTCTATTACAGCTACAGTGAATTGTAATGCCTGCCCACTAACTCTTCAACAACTCAAGCAGCACTTTAACACTGTATTGCCTGGTATGTTATGTAGAGCTATTACTGATGCCTTTCATTTGCCAAAAGAGTGAAGAGGGAAGGAGAAACAAAAGAAAAAGCATTCTGCTAATATTGATAGTGTTAATGGGGGTTAGACTTGTAACAATAAATGCGAAAGTGAACTGCGAGCCATTTCTTACCTCTTCACGTTCTTTGAACCAGTACGTTAACCAAAAATATTGTTAGGCTTATACAAATGTAAGTCTGCCGATGGTTTTGGCAGCTAAATCTGGGAATATGGTATACTTGGAATACAATATATGCATAAGCCCGATAGAAACCTTCTGAGGTTTTTGAACATGTTTAATAAATAGAAACATGTCATTTTCAGCACCAAAGCCTGGGTTATGACAAATAAGTATGCTCAAGGCATTTTTTACAAAATTTCCCTCTCGCTCTAATAACATGCTGGTGTGGGGAGAGAAAACACTCAGAAATTGGATATTTTGTTTCTAGTACTATGCTTTGGACACTCTCTTCTTTGGAAACATAGTGTGATTGTACCTGAACATCAACACGCACGCAAGTTGACCTAGTTTTCACTTACAGACTGCATGAGCACTGATTCTCAGAAATACTCATTCAGTTATTTCATGAATTGCTTATAAAGCACCTACTATGTGTTAGACACTTGGACAAGGCAGAGAACAAAACCAATGTGGTCGCCACTGTTACAGGTCATACTGATGAGGGAGCATGGGACAAGCTGAGGGCAAAAACAGGCTGGCACGCCCGCCTCCCAGGTGGAACAATGTGTGATATTCCTCAGACCCTCCTGGCTACCCAAGAACAGAGGAAGGGGGTTTAAGTGCTTGCCATGGTAATGTGGGAAACTACTGCAAATGAAAAACTGAATTCCTTTACTGCCTATAGCCCATTGACAAGTCCTTGACACCAGGAGAGTGACCTCCCTCTAGGAGCTCAGCTGCCTTGATGAGGACACTTTGCTTGGGGCAAAAGGGAATCTTAGCTTAACATTATCCCAACCTCCAGGATCCTGTAAGTCTGCTTCCTTTGTCTCAACTACCCCGAGATATGTGATGTCAATCATACTCCAAGCTTATGGCCCCCCGAAATAGGGTCTCATGACTGAGGTTGTATTCAACAGTAATAAATGGCGTTTCCCTAGCAACAGCTAGCCCAAGGTCCTTGAAACCTTGCTTCCAAAATACCTTAGAGACTTAACTCTATCCCTAACTCCCAACCTGAGGGTATATAATCATTTACCCGCCACAACCCCAGAGCAGCTCTTTCTGCCCACGGGTCCTGTCCCTGTGCTTTAATAAAATCACCTTTTTGTACCAAAGACGTCTTCAAGAATTCTGTCTTGGCTGTCGGCCCAGGCCACCCACCATCACCCCAAAATTTCATCAGTACTGTTTAGTCTTTCATCTTTTTTTGAAAATCAAAGTGGTTCCCATAATTTTCCTTGTTCACAAACCTTTGGAAATACTGCAGAATACTCTTGCCTTGTGCAGGTGTCATAAAGAAGGGCCAATGCTGCCACCATGCTATTTTGGAAGCCATCCCCTTTTTTCATCTTACAGAGTGAAAGAGGGAGAGGCCCTGCAGACACGGAGCTCTTCCCCACTGGTCTTTCCCATTGCACATTACATATGTAACAACACCAAAGTTCTAGTTAGTAGTGTGTGTTTCATTTCAGCGGTTCATGATTGTGTGTTGGTGACACCTACAGAAATTTTACACCAATAGTGCAATCTCAAGAAAAAATAATAATGGCAGTGCAGCAGCTAATGTGCATTAAACTTTTGCTATGAGTAGCATTACTCTATATGATGTTGTTTATAAGGTATAAGTTAATCCTTTTTACTAACTCCATAGGATAAGTGTTATCATTCTTATCTCCATTTCAAAGATGAGTAACCCGAGGGAGAACAGGGAGATTTAAAAACTTGCTCAGGGTAATATAGCTAGTAAGCCTTAGAGCAGGTTTCAAACTCCAGTGATCTGGCTTAAGAACCCATCTCATAAAATATTTCATGGTTAAAACAACACCCCAAAATTAACCATCACATTTCCTTATTTCCTTACCTTTAAGATGGTCTCAAAAAAAGTATTATTCATTCATTCAAGAAGCATATATTGAGCACATTCCAGGCTTTTGAAATATAGATGTGTGTAAGGTAGTCTTTATGATTTTTTTTTTGGTTTTGTTTTTGCTATGCTAATGTATTCAAATTAAAAGGAGGTTCACATTTACTAATAAAGGCTACCATTTTGAAAAAGTAACCATTATGTTCTTCCTTTCTAGGGATTAAATAAAAGCTAAACATAGTTATCTACAAATTAGTTCAATTTAATAAGCTTGAAAGACATAGTAATGGATTATGTTCAAGGCACTGAGATAAGCATTGTTAATTTTTCAAAAAAAGACTGGAAGAAAGACTTGCTCTTTCAAGCTTAAGTGACTTTCAATACATGTATATGATGGAACAAGAATATCAACGTAGTTCCAGTTTTTTCTCCCAAATACCTTGCAGTCCATTGTATTGCAGCCAATGACCATTTGTCCTAATACTATAGGCATCAACACATATTGGCATTTAAGGCAATTTAGTCCATTATCCCACCTTTTTTGTGATAGCAAAACTATTCTCACACCTTTCAAAGAAGTTGGGTCTTTCTACCGTCTGGCCATAGAAGGACTGTCTGAGTATCCGAACTCCTTTATGGTTGAGTGGGCCATAAAGTTCTGGCCAATGAAGTATCTGCAGAATTGATGGTGTCTTTTTGAGGCTGAAGCATTTATTTGTTGAAGCAGCATCTGCCTTTGCTTGATGAACAGGGACTAGCCACACTCTCAGCCTGGATTCTTGAGCGATCACAGAGCACAGGCCTTCCCCTTTTCCCACCAACCCAAAATGGATCTACACAGTGAAGAAGAAATGTTTTGTTCTTTAAGCAAGTGAGATTTGAGGGCTATTTGTTACTGCAGCATAACCTAGTCTACTCTGACTGATGAGGACTTTAACGTACATTATTCATGTATTAATTGAATTTTTATGGTCCATACACTGCCCTAAGCTCTGTGGAGACAGCAGTACACACATCAAACCAAGTTCCTGCCTTTTCAGAGCTCCTTGCAATAGAAATCCATTGGAGACTTTAAGTTTTTTTATCATTATTTTTAATCAGACCAGCGATAAACCCAAAGCACTGATTGTTGCTGCTGGAATCCCTTAGGATTCTTAGAAACCAGGAGTTATAGACTGATTGCTCATGTGGCCCATGGCTGTGTCCTACTCAGCCATTTTCTTATGCAGGCACAGTATTTACAAACGGCCAAGGACTACAGCAGCATTTTTTTTAGCCCATCCAGTTTTATTAATTCAAGATACCTATGTAGCTGGGTGTTCAAACCATGATTCAGGCCAAACTCCTAAAGATCTACATTTCAAACATAGTATCTATGTATATACACATTTGTTTATGTAAAGAAGAGAAAAGTCTATTCATTAGCCTATTTATCTGCCCCATGGAGAAATCCACTTTAATTCAGAGGAAAAGACTGACGCAAATAACTGGGGGTAAAAGCTAAAACACTCAGAATGGTTAAATAGCCAAAAATATTCAGTGAATTGCCCTGTATAATAAGAAGCAGTGGGCAGAGGGATGAGTGATAGAGGATATGACAAGGAGAAAACCAGGAGGGAGAAAAAAAAAATGGTGGGAGGTAGAGAGGCAGAGACAGAAATATATTAGAGGCTCAGGAAGAGGCCTTAGAACAGAAATGTCCAAAGGGGATTTCTTGGTGGAAAACTATATCCTATGGAGTGTGACTCTTCCCTGTTTCACCAAATGATTATAAAAGTCTTAAAAAAAAAAACTCACCTATACTTTGTGTTAGTTATTAAGTTTCTTGGGAAACCCATTGAAGGGGCTACTTCCTGTATCCTGACATAAAGTACCATGAAAGAATCCCTCACTCCCCTGATTACCACACTTCTTACTTCTTAGCATTAGAAATAAAAGCCATCATACTTCAGTTTAAGAACAGTCCACCTAATAATTTGGCTAATTTTAATTCACAAATGTGCAGGAAAAAAATTTGAGACAGGCATATTTCTAAATTGAAAAACAACTAAAGGAATTTAAATAAATTACATCTGGACTAAGAAACATGCCAAGTTTCAATCCAATGCAAATTAAAGTGGCTTAGATGTATACCATTTAAATCGCATTTCTTGAAATAACACATTTTGGTTGTGATTTCCCAACCCTGATGTTTTTTCTTATTTCATTTCAATTGGTTAATGAAAATGGAGGCATGGATAAAAGGACAATTGTCATGGTACTTTCTATCTCAACTATATGCCTTCTGTAGCACCGAAGTCCAATTTCTTTTTTTCTATAGTCACTGGGGCTCCCTATCAATTGGCTGAAAATGTCTATTTTAAATCATGATCATGAGAAGGCTATATACTATTTCCCTTGGCTAAGTAATAATGTTATCTTTCTTCCATTTGTGTATATAAATCATTTTATTATTTTACTTTTTTTTCTAGAACTCACCTGAAATTTTCCAGTCTACCAAACAGTCCTATGTGCCCTATACCAGATACACAGCAGTTATCCCTAGTTGTCAGTCTTACCTTTGGGACCTAAACAGCATGTATATACTTGCCTTATTTCTCTTATCACCTGCCATGATTCAAAATATATTTAAGCTAAGAAGAAGGAAAGGATGATGAAGAGAAAGTAAATGACGTACAATAAGAGAATAGGAGTTATAATGATAACATATAATATTGATGATGATTGATGATATATAATACATGGCATATATAATAACAATATTATAATTAAGAATATAATCAAATATAATATAATAATGATGAGGGGCATCTGGGTGGCTCAGTTGGTTAAGCATCCAACTTCGGCTCAGGTCATGATCTCACAGTTTGTGCGTTCAAGCCCTGCGTCAGGCTCTGTGCCGACAGATCAGAGCCTGGAGCCTGCTTCAGATTCTGTGTCTCCCTCTCTCTCTCTGCCCCTCCCCCCCACTCGTGCTCTGTCTCCCTCTGTCTCTCAAAAATAAACATTAAAAAATTTGTATAATAATGATGACAGTGCTATTCTATTAATATCTATTTGGGGGTGCTGGGGGCGGGGGGGGGGGGGACTCTTTCTATATACCAAACCCTGGCTGAGCCTTTACATTCAGTGTCTCATTTAATACTTACAAAATTGCAAATAGATCTATATCTTATTGATCTCTATTATATGGGTAGAAAATCAAATTTCAGAGAAGTTAAGTATTTGAACTAATATCACACCTCTAATAAGATTGAAGAACTAAGATTCAGACTTATCTTTAGTTCCCAGAACCTAAGCTCCAATCAACCAAATACAGATAAGCAGTATTAGTAAGAAACAATACATTTTGCATAATAAAGATAAAAGACCAAGTAAACAAAGATGAGCCTGATGTAAAGTTTGAACATGAAATGTAAACTGTCAAGTGATACACAAAAAGCATTATTTTGACTCTTAAATTTCCAACTAGCAAAGAAGAGAAAATTATTTCTTAAAAATCCGTAGCATCCACAAGGTAAAAAACAAGACAAAAGCAAACAAGGAAACAAATAAAAAGCCAAATTCTGCTCAAGAGAGAATAAGCATCATTAATAGTAACAAAGAATGAACAGAACCTAAATCATTTCCTATAAAACTAGTGATACTTAGGTCTATATTTGAACCTGGATACATAAGGCAGAATTTTCAGGAACTGTAAGAAAAGGGAACTGGGAGACAAAATTTTTCTTAGGCTGGAAGGAAAGATAACCTTCATGTAGGAATCTCATTTTTCACCTCTAGCAGCCTATCTCTACAATTACTTTATCAATTATAATTCCTCATTGCTTATCTTGTCTGTCTTCCAGGCAGAAGAAAAAGAAAGAACAAGGTCATTTCTTTTGTTCTTCTAGTTCTCATCTCTTTATTTTTCTTTTAGAACAGAGAGAAAGTTGAAACAACAGCTTCACTTTCTTCTCTATGATCAAAGTAATAAATAAACTAGTGAGTTAGAGACCAAGTGGCCTCTTTATTACAAGAATATGAACATATAAGCACATAAAGGTCATGAAAATGACTGCTTTGATGATAATTATAAAAACAGTAATGATTTCTTTCGTTCATAAAACTCACACATCCATAGTTGTATTCATCATCACTGTTGCCTAATCCCAATGAATGGTTCAAGCCAAAAATGAAGACTGTCTTTCCCATCTCCCTCTCTATGAACTTCCACATTGTGTCATTTCCTATTACTTTGACTTTCTGTCTATGCCTTAAATCTATCCATTCTCGCCCTCTCCATTCCAACCCTTGTTTAGGCAACCATCATCTTTCATCAACTATGATAATACTTTCCTAATATATGTGCTCCTCCCACCTATCAGTCCCCACTCTGCAGTAAGAGGCAATGTGTTTGAGATGCATGTTGATCATTCCACTCTTGTATTTAAAAACCTTTTGGTAGTTTTCCATTGAGCCTAAAATAAAGCCCATATTCATGACCATGGTTGAGAAGGCTCTGTATCCCTACCCCGGTCTACATCTCCGGCCTCATCTTACAACAGTCTCACTCTTGACTCGTGCTACAGTTTTCTCTTGGGTCCCTGAATGGGACAGGGAAACTTCCTCCTGGTAGCCTTTTGCTCCAAAAGAGATCAAGTCCCTCTGCTACATGCTCCTGCAGCCCTCAGGGTATCATCTCTGTAGTCTTAACCACCATTGTAAATAACTGTTTTTGGTATTACTTGCTTGTTATCTGCTTTATCTCTTTCCTAGAGTCACCATGAGAGCAAGGAAAACCAGTATCTTATTTACCACTGTATCTTATTTATCACTGTATCTGTATCTTCAAAATTGAGCATGTATGTAGTACCTGGCCTATAGTATACATTCAACTGTTTGCATAAACAAATGAATAATAATAAATCAATCAAAAGTAAAATATGAGTTCACTATCATGACAGCATACACAACAAACTTTTTCTCTAAATAAGTAGATGGTGTGCCTTCCCCAATACCTTTTGCTAGTTCTCTTGGTAGCCAATAGTATGCTTTTACAAAGTGACACATATTCAGGATGACTGCCTTGATTTGTGTTAGTCAACGGCTATGACACTTAGTCAAGGAAATTGGCCCATACGTTGTTTAAACCCATACTTACCTGCCACTAAATCTGTGTTGGATTTTTTTTTTCTTTTCCTTTTTTTGCCAGAAGAAAAGAAATGAAACTGCCCTGAATTTTCAGTCCTCGTTCTCAGTATTTGATATCTGAGTATGATCTCATGATAGAGCGCACAGCTGACCCCTGAAGAATAAAGAAAAGTCTACAAATGTTAAAAATCAAAAGAAAGCACTTAGAATTTCATTATATTGAAACCAGAAGAGATCCCTCCACCCTCCAAAACCTCCTAGTCCAACCTCTCTGCTCTAAAGGAAATAAAAAGATGTAACAAAGGGAAGAAGCTTACTTACCAAAGGGAATATAGTGAGTTTAGTGGCCTGGGTGATGTTAGAACACAAGTTTTCTAATCATCTACTGTCTCTCTTTCTGTCTTAGTAGGCACTAGACAGTAGCACTTTCTGTAATGCTGGAATTGTTCTATGTCTGTGCCGGCCAAGATGGTAGCCACTATCCACATGTGGCTATTAAGGACTTGAGATGTGGCCAGTACAACCGAGGCAATGCATTTTTAATTTAATTTTAATTAATTTCAATTTAAGTAGACACATATGGTTAGTGGATACTGTATTGGATAACACAGTTCTGGAATATGCCAGCTAGGTCAAGGAAAATAAAACCAGTAACATCAAATAATTTTCTATTAAACTGGAAGATCTTGAATTACCTGACAGTAACCTTTCAGGACAGGGATAACAAAGAAAGAAGGAAATACGATACGCTTGGTTTCAGTTAATGGAAAACAACAACAACAATTCAAGCTACGATGCATAATGAAGATGAATGATTTCTATAATTTTTTTGTTAACGTTTATTTTTGAGAGAGACAGAGACTGAGTGGGGGAGAGGCAGAGAAAAAGAGGGAGACACAGAATCCAAAGCAGGCTCCAAGCTGTCAATAGGGAGACTGACGCGGTGCTCGAATTCATGAACCATGAGATCCTGAGTGGAAGTTGGACACTTAATCCACTGAGCCACCCAGGCGTCCCAAAAATGAATGATTTCTTAAAGGTTGAGAGTTCACAGGTGGGGCTCACCTCCTAAACTCCGTGGCTTTGATTCAGTAATTCCACCAAGACTTCAAGGACCTAACTCATTTTCAACTCTCTCTCTGTCTTTCCAGTAGCGCATCCTACGGCAGGCTCTCCACAATGGATCAAGCATAGCTGCCCACAGCTGTCTCAGTTATGAGCTTCTTCATCCACATAATGGCAACAGAAAGAACTGTTTTGATTTCTGTCAGATGAGCAAGGAAGATTCTTTTTCAGCTTCCACTAGCAAACCACTTCTCGTATGGCTTTAATTTAACTCGGGTCACTTACTGCTCCTGGTAATCAATGACTTGAGCCAGGTACCTGGCTTGGCCGAGGGAAAAAAGATCATATTGCTAGGCTTAGAGCCACACCACACTCTCCAGGCCCAAATCAAGAAAGAAATCAGTTTCTGCCAGAAGAGATGCATGGAGTGAGGTGACTGTGGTACTTAAGGGAAAATTAGGACAATAGTGATAAAGAGGAAATGGATATTGAAGAGAGACCATTGTGTTGACTAAAGCTAATAATGGTTTCATATGTATTTTTAGAACTGACGGACTTTGATTTTTTTTCCCCTACGTATAAAGTGTTAAACAACAAAAAATTTGAAGATCTAATTGGTTTTATTAAGTGATTCGGAGGGGAGCTCCAAGGAGATGTCCAAAATGGAAGATTTTGTAAGAAAGAAAGTGGGGCAAAGAAGTTGTTTACAAAAGAAAAGGAAAGAGTGTTTCTGGCAAGGTCGTGTTCTCTTTGGGGAAGTGCAGGGGGTCTTATTAGGTAAATTACCTCATTTTCCTTGGGGGTGGGGATGGAGAAGTGTCCTTTGACAGACTGCCTCTTTGGTGCTGACCAGAAAATTCTGGACTCAGTTAAGACCACATTTCTGGGAAAGGTTAAAACTGATATTAGGTGAGGTATTAAGCCCTGGTTTGGTGACTTGGCCAAGCATAAGTGATTTTTTTTTTTAATGAAAGTAATATATTCATATTTTAAAAGGTAGAAAACTAAAGGTCTAAATAGTAAACTTTTGGGGCTACTGGGTGGGTCAGGTGGTTAAGCATCCAACTTTGGCTCAGGTGATGATCTCGTGGTTCGTGGGTTCGAGCCCCGCATCAGGCTCTGTGCTGACAGCTCAGAGACTGGAGCCTGCTTGGGATTCTGCATGTCCCCTCTCTCTCAGCCTCTCCCCCACTCGCACTCTGTATCTCTCTCTCAAAAATAAATAAACATTAAAAAAATTAAAATAAATAAAGTAAAATAAAAATAGATACATAAATATTTCTATTTGCCACTTTTGTGGCACCTGAAATGCTCAGGTCATGATCTCGCAGTTGTGGGTTCGAGCCCCTTGTTGGACTCTGGGCTGACAGCTCAGAGCCTGGAGCCTGCTTTGGATATTGTGTCTCCCTCGCTCTCTGCCCCTCCCCCTCTCACACTCTGTCTCTGTCGCTCAAAAATAAATAAACGTTAAAAAATAAAAAATAAATAAATTGAAAACTTTTAAAGTCAACTATAATTTATCACATGTAAGTTACCAGTACTTACATTTAAGTGTACATAAACTTTTCCAAACATCCTTATTTGGTTTTGTTGCTTTTCTAACAATTGTACTTTAATATACAATGTGTTTTATGATTTGCTTTTTTTCTCTGAAAAGTATCACATTTTCCAATGCCACTAACTTATTCCTCTAAAGATGACCTTAGTCTACATAACCAACCTAAAGTACTTTTCTTTCCCTAAATATTTGTTGCTTGTAAACTGTAGTTGATCTCACTCCCGTGCCAGTAAATCTCCTGCTATGCAAGACCCAAGAATTAACAACAGGAATGTTTTTCTTTTTCCATAGGATCTTACATGATACCAATGGTTAAACTACAAGAGACAATCATAAATCACCTTTGGCTGGTGTGGGCTTAAACTCCATTAAGTTTTCTTGACACCTTAAGTTTGTCTCTAACTTCTCTTCAAGTAAATTTCCTTTCTGGTCTTTGTCTTATTATCAATATGGCTGATTATCTCTTACTTCTGGTTTGAATTTTAATAATATGGGGGAAGATAATTTCCAGAAATAGAAACAATACAGAAAAATAGAAGTGTATGTGTTCATATATAATATAATATAATATAATATAATATAATATAATATAATATGTATAATCCATAATTCTTTGGGCCTCCTTCCTTTCCCTTCTTTATTTTTTGACTTTGTCAGTAACACACTATAATAGAAAAGCTAAGAGAATGAACTCTGGATTTCAGCTACACCACAAACTCACCATTAGATCCTATGCAAATACCTTCCCCCAGTTGCCTGACTGATACCTAATTCAAAAGATTGTTAGGTTGTGCACCAGAGTGCCTGAAATTCCAAGTCTCCATAAACTCTTAAAATTAAATTTGATTTATATGTGTCACTAAGATTTAGCTCTAAATTTTTAGATACTTTGTTACATCTCCGTGCTTCTGTACATTCAACGCTTTCTGTTTGAAACATCCTGTTCGTCTTTCCCTTTCTTTTTTTTTTTATTTTTAAATGTTTATTTATTTTTGAGAGAGAGAGAGACAGAGCATGAGAGGGGGAGAGGCAGAGAGAGAGGGAGATACAGAATCCGAAGCAGGCTCCAGGCTCTGAGCGGTCAGCACAGAGCCCGATGTGGGGCTCGAACTCACAGACCGCGAGATCATGACCTGAGCTGAAGTCAGAAGCCCAACCGACTGAGCTACCCACGCGCCCCTCCTCTTTCCATTCCTATGTACCTTTCTTCTTCCCCTTCCACCTCCTAAATCAACCCACTTGTGTAGATTTGGTTTTGGTACTACATTCTCCATGGAGTATTTCTTGGCTTCCCGAGTCTAGACTGGACACTCCTCCTCTGCAACCCTACACGATTCAGGGCCTGCTGCATTCGCCCCAGCATCTCTGCTCCATGCCATATTTACTTATTCACTTGTCTGTCCACTAGACTATCTTTCATCTCTATATCTTCAGGTAAACATAGTGCGTTTCTGTTCTTCAAACCTCTTATGCCTTTCTTGGCTCCCAGCTTCTGCACATCCTGTACCCTCTTTCTGGAACATTCTTACATCCTATTCTTTGGCTCTTTTTGAATCCCTCTGGTCTCAGAGATACCTTCCCTGTCCTTATCATTTCTTGTTTGAAAATACACCCTCGTTTTCCAATGTACAGAATATATGTCAGATTTTGTTTTCAAGCCATAGACTGCAGGCCCAGCGTAAGCCATTTATACCCGTATTTCCAACCTGAATATCATCCCAGTCCTCCCTACCCACTCCCACCCTCGCCATACTCCAGTCACTGTGGTCTTCCCTCAGTAATACATTCAGGCATTCATTCACTCAGCAAGTATTCATTCAACGACCAAGGGACAGGGACTAGAACTCCAGAACGGGTGACCAAGATAATCATTGTGCCGTCTCACACACTCCAAATACTTTCCAGATTCAGGGCCTCGGTACATGCTATACATTTCTGTTTTGTTTACCCCTGTTCACTCACCGTCTGGCAATGTACCTGGCACATAGTAGGTGCTCAGTAAACAGTTCTAGAATAGATGAGTAAATGAAAGGGTGAGTGAATGAATAAACATAACCGTTTCTCATTTATTCATGTTTTAGGGGTTTTACGAATTCGCAGCAAAATTCTGAGCAAGCGGTTGGCAGTGGGATGCACAGGGAGGAGGCAGGGAAGAATTTCAGATGATGTGTCTGTATGTGTATGGGTGTTTGTGTGGGAATCTGAGTCTGAGAATGCCTACATGCGCATCACCAACCACATCCTGGTGCCAGGAAGAAAGGCTTTTTGCATCACTTCTTGTTTTCTCTCATCCACCCTTTTGTCCCTTTCTCCTCACACACCATATTGACAGTAGGCCTTCCCCACTCTTGGTTTCCACCCTCACATTCAGGTTTTTTCATCCTGTAATGGGGACCATGTGGTATCTCTGGGAGTCCCAGCTTAGAGAGGGGAATCTAGTAGTTACTAGTTTAGAGTAGAGGTGGAAAAGAGAATTATAAAAAGGAGTTCAAGGGAAGCTTGGATGTGACTGAAGGGGGTAGAAAGCATGTGTGCGTGGCCCCACTTAGATGCCCTAAACCAGAGGTCCCCAATCTTGACTATGGATTACAATAACCTGGGGGAGTTTTGAAAACTCTAAACGTCCAGACCTCCACCCCAAATCAATCATGCCAAGATTTCTAGATCTGGGATCCAGGCGACAGTATCTTTCAAAGCTCCCTAAAACACTGTACTAAAACACTGTACTAAAACAAAAACTTACTGCAGTAGGCCTCTGGTCACTATAGCAACTCCAGAAATACCCACGATTTCTGTTAATTAGTTGCCAACTGAGAAGTACCTTCTCTGTGTTTATCTGCTTTAAGGTTAGCCCAATGCCTGCATCTTCATGGAAAGCTTATTAAGTGCTTAATATGATAATAGTTACCATATAAACTTCTACTTTGTTAATTTGAGGTTTTTTTTTTCTTAGCTCTTATTTAACTGTGAGGATTATGCAAACCTTAGATTTTCTAAGTGCTAAATGGTTAGTAAACTTCATGGTTTCCCGCTTACCTACATTCTCCCTTCTTGATTTTTAATCGGTTAGTAGCCACAACCCCTTTGCTTGGGCTAAATGCTGGTTGTAGGAGTCTCTCCTATGGCTCAGGGCAGTCGGATTCCCCGGTCACGGTCAGAGATGAGCAAAGAAGTCAACGGGTGCCAATGATACGCAAAGACAGGTTTATCAAAACAGTTCTTCATTCATCTAAGATTCAGGAAATGATTTTCTCTTTTTGTCCAGACCTGAACAATGAAGCAGGTCATTGACTCGAAGTCATTAACAGGCATGTGGACATTCTAAAGAGGTTGCCACCCTTAACACGAGGCTGCTACCATGGAAAGCCAAGTGCCTAATGGTAAAAATATTCTTCGCTGAATCAAACCATCCAAGTCCACACAACACATACTAGACTTTCCCTGGGATAGTTTGAGGCAGTTTGAGTAGGGCTTTCTGTTACGTGCAACCAAAAGAATCAATCCTAATTAACAGAGCATTAATAGACAGCTTACAACAATGGAAACATAAAACTAAAAATGCCCCAGAGATTTTTAAATCCAAACTCATATTTTAAAAATAAGAAGATTAAGACCCAAACCACTGATCTGACTTGTGCAAAGTGACGCAAAGGACCTCACTTTCTGTTTACCTAGATTTAGGTCTTAATCACAAGTGTCCTCATTGCCAATCCATTGTTCATTCTACTGACGTAGAAAGTTATCTTCATTGTGAACACTCACTTTAATTTTCCAGTGTTGCTAAATTAGCTGTGATGACCCTAATTTTTAAAATCCCATTAAACTTCCTTGGAAGGAACTCTCTCTAGAAATAGATATTCTCAGCATTCTCTTTAAAGACACCCTCAAAGCCTGTAGATACCATCTGATTTTTAAATGTAGACGTCATGAAAGAATATGTAAAACGGTAGAAAATATGTATCACGCAACCCACCCCCAACCAAAAAAAAAAAAAAAATATTTAAAAGTTCTATCCAGTTAGGCTGCTTCAGTAAATTATGTTGCTGAATATATAAAATACTTGAATCTAAATTTAAAAATGTTCCCCCCCCTTGATTAACCAGATTGTCCCCTCCCCTATATATAGGAACACTGTGTGCCTGAGCCCACCTGCCATCTGTCACCACATTTTCCAAACTTCTCTTCCACCCCCTCCTCTTACACAATCTTATCACATAAAAATATTAGATTTCGGGGATTTGTATAATTTCATTAAATTTTCTGAGCCAAGTAAAAATAGAGGAGGTATTGGTGTACCAAACTGACTCAGTTTTTGAGTGCCCAACACGCGTCTGTAGTAGCCAGTAATGCCTTTTAGGTAGAATTTATGTGGCCAGGAATAAAAGGAATACGTTTTTTTTCCCCTAATTATGGCATCTCCTATTAGGAATTTGCAGATGTTCCCCATGTTGCAGAGAGGAATTTGGAGAGCTTCCAGAGAATCCTGACTCATATACCATCCTGTTGCTTTGTTTATTACTTTTTATAAAGTTTTGTGAGTTTTCATAGATTAGAAAAATACTTACAAGCCAATTGGGGATTATCCATGTTACTGCGTCCCCATCTGCTGCCCCCCCCCCCCGGGGGGGGGGGGGGGTGTTAGGGGTCCAAATGCAGGGGGGCTCTACTCACCCAAGTACTTAATGACAGACACTTAAGATCTTCCTTGGTTGCTCTCTTTCCTGCTTCTCACATACGATCCAACAGAAACCCTAACCAGTGCTTTTGTTTCCAGAGCACGCAGGAGGTCTTTGAGGAATAAGCCTGGGGACTGGGTATATAGTATCAAGTGTACCACACAGTAAGGGACTGTTAGGGATGGTCCTCTGAACTTGGTTCTTCCCTGCTTCTCTACGTCTGGAGGAGGAAAGAGGCTTGTAATGAGCGTCCTGTTGTGTCGACCGAGCACCACCCCTTCTCCCATCCCTAACCCTGGTTCTACTGAAAGGCTCATCAGTCACAGCGCCTCTACTATTCTCCAAACACAGGGGTAGTCATAGGACTCCAGGCCTGACCAATCAGGAATTCCCATGCCCTGCCAACAGAGACTGTTCTAAGCCCGGGCGTATTACCCAAGAAGAAAACTAGGGAGAAAGAGATTTATTTCCCATATGACAAAGACTGGTGGCTATTGGTGCCATTTCCGTCGACAGTGAGGAAAAAATCTGCCTGTGGCAGCAGGGAATATAGTCATACCCAGATGAGAAAGAGACAAATGAATGGAAAATGGAAAAGGAGAAAGAGGGAGGGGAGTAGGAATAGTCCAAATCAGGGGTCAGCCAACTAAGGTCTGTCTCTTGTTTTCGTAAATTAAGTTTTGTTGCCAAACACATACACCCATTTTTTAATGCATTGTCTATATCTGCTTTTAGAGTACTATGTTAGAGTTTAATTGGTGCAGATGCCATACCTGACTGAGAATGCCTGAACAAGGACACATAAAGTATCTTTGTCCTTTTCAAAGACCTTACAATTCACTGAATTGCCAAAAATACAAATACATATTTATAGCACAATACGATGATGGGGGGGGGGACCCAAAATACAGAATTAGAAAGAACACATAAATCAAACAAAATAACAGTGGAATAATGATGATAATAATGTTACTGATGATGGCAGTTACCATTCATTGATTGCATATTACATTGCTACTTCATGTGTATTGTCACTCATCCTCCAAACAACCTTGCAAAGTAAATGTATCAGTCAGGATAGGATAAGTTTTGCTGCAGTAACAAACAACCCCAATATCTCATGCCCCATTTCCAAAGCGGATCAGCAGAAGACCCTGCTTATTGCTGACAGCCAAACCCCAGATGGTAAAGGCTCCTTCTTCACACATTTCCATATTTGACTCATTGAAGTAGGGGACCATAGCAAATGACACAATGACTCTAAAAGCTTCCATTCATGAGTAAAACACATCACTGCTTCTCAGATTTTATTAGCCAAAACAAGACGTAGAGCTATGACTAGCACTGGTGGAATGTAATACAACCGTGAGCTCAGGAGGAGAAGATGTGGAAATATTTAAAGAATGGCGGGAGCGTTTACCCAGATAGGTGTTGTTAGTTCTCACCTTTCCAATGAAGAAACGCAGTAAGAGAAGTTAAAGGACTTCTTCAAAGTCAGAGCTAACAAGTAGTAGTGGTTGTATTGAACTGAGTCAGTTGGACTCTAAATTGCAAGCCCTTTTATGCCGTACCTTATCGTTATCTTCCCTCATCGGCTTCATCTGGTAAATAGTACAGTTTACCAATGACAGGAATAGTAGGTTGCATGACAGAGGACCGAGAAAGAGATATAGGCCTAATGAGCTTGGAAATAGTAAGCACTTTAACCTTTTTGTTAAGGAAATTTACAAGATTTAATCAATGTTTAAGCGAGATATGGAAGGTGATTTTTGACTAGAGAATTGGACTCAGTGTGGAATGACTACGGAGGGGGAAGGTCAGTAGAGAATCAGGATGAGGTAATATAATTTGAAAAGAACAGTGATCAAGAGAGAAAGAGAGAGAGAGAAATAGGGAGAGAGCGAGTGAATGAGAGAGAAGGAGTAGTTGTAAGGGAGATTTTAGACTGAAACTATTCCTGTTCTTGAGTGCCTTAAGTATAATTCTTTCCTAAAAGGTTCGGGTTCAAATATTTATGAGACAGAGTTACTATTCCTTTTAGAGGCTTGTCAAGTGTAAAAGAGGAGGAAAAATCTGTTTGTGAAGGGAGTTTACAGTATACTTAAAGTTTATTTTAAAAATAAATAGGACTTGATAGATAGGGCAATAAACAACAGGCCCCACCAGTAACCTGCCAGGAGCACTAACAGGAGGCATCTGTAGGCTGCCAAGAGCCAGAAATAAGAATGAACAGTTCTTACTGTCAGAGAGTCAGAGGAACATTCACAAACAAAGAGATTATTTGGGGTGCGTCCTTTCTAAGCCAAGTTGCTCTGTCATGCACACGCTCACAGTTTATGTGTAATACACCCACACAGGTAAAGTCACATCTGAGTCAGATGTTGCTGGCTCCCTTGGCTATGAATTCCAGGTTTTGTTTCCGATTGAGATTGTTACGTGGCACACAAAAATATGTAGAGACCTTTAGAAAAATGGAATATTGTAGGGATATTAAACTTTGTGTGACCTCAATCATTAGGAAATACATGTGATCTGAAAGGGGTCTATGTGTTTCCCTCTAATCTTTCTTTCTTTCATTATTTACATTTATTAAATGTATACAGTTGTGACTTATTATTTATGTGTGCCTACAATGCTGGGTAGGATTGCAGGGCCTGGGGATACAGATGTGAAGAAGAGAAATGGTCTTTATCTTCGTGGAATCTCCTATTTTAATGAAGGAGAAAAATGAGAAAACAAATACATGAGGTGATTAAAGACTGGGGTAAATGAAATAAAGCTATGAAAACAATGATACACTAGAAAACCTGAGGGTTGAAGAATGGGACTGACTTTAGACGGTGGTCAGGTAGTCCATTGTGGTGGGGACCTTTGAGCTAGGACCAGAAAGGTAAGAAGCAAACCATGCACTGACACGGTTTGATATATGTTTAGGCCTGTTTAAATTAATAAAGACTTCCTTTCTGGAGACAAAAAAAAAAAATAATAGATCTGGGTTATAAAGCTCATTGAATGAGGACTCAAGAGATCTTGATTTCTTCGCTGCTGCTTATAACAGCTGCATGCCCCTAAGCTAGCCATGTAAACTTTATGAGTCTGGATTTCTTCATCTGTGAAATGTGTGAGTTGGGTCGGAGAATCTGTAAGGTCTCTCTAGGCGTTAAAAGTTTATACTATTTCCTCTTCTGTTCTTATTGTATGTGCATGCGTATAAGCACATGTACATGCAAGCACACACACACGCGCACACACACACACGCACACACACACTGGATGCGTGTATGAAGTTTTATTTATCTGTCTATCTATTTATTTATTTATTTATGGCAGAGAGAGTGTGAGTGGAGGAGTGGCAGAGGGAGGGAGAGAGAGAGAGAGAGGGAGAGAGAGAATCTCGAGTAGGCTCCATGCTCAGTGCACAGCTGGATGCGGGTTCCATCCAATAACCCTGGGATCATGACTTGAGCCAAAATCAAGAGTTAGACGCTCAACTGACTGAACCACCCAGGCACACCAGGTCTCTTGTTTTTTGATTGCTGTAAGGAACAGACCCAGGGCAAAATAAAAATGCATACTTAATATGTTTTCGATATAAGTGACAAATACCTTGCCTTTTCAAACAACTCTACCTTTGCTGAAATACAATTAGTCTATTCCATAAGCGTCCCTAGGAACAACAGTGACTACTTCATGTTAGTAGATATACCCACACCCTTCTCCCAAACTACCTATTACTGGCCACAGCCTCTGATATTACAACAGTATGTGACTCTTCTTCTGTATTCTCCCCTTCCAGAGTACCCCAATCCATCCACATCTGATTAGATCAGGAAAATAAAACACCTGACTCAAATAAGCATCAACCATAGTTTGGCCACAGATCTGGAAATGAAGAGCAAAGGTGAGTCAGGCCAACAGATTGGCTTCCGAGGAATTTGGATTTGGGAATGTGAAACATGATATATAGGTTGGTGGCAAGGCCAAAAATTAAGGACACATAAAAGACTGCCAAAGCATAATGATGACAAAAAAAAAATTTTTTTAATTTTTTTTTCAACGTTTATTTATTTTTGGGACAGAGAGAGACAGAGCATGAACGGGGGAGGGGCAGAGAGAGAGGGAGACACAGCATCGGAAACAGGTTCCAGGCTCTGAGCCATCAGCCCAGAGCCCGACGCGGGGCTCGAACTCACGGACCGCGAGATCGTGACCTGGCTGAAGTCGGACGCTTAACCGACTGCGCCACCCAGGCGCCCCAGAAATTTGAATGAAGTCTATTAATTTTCTGACTGTTCTGACTACTGAGTCTCCCAGAGCTGTTTAGATCCAGACTCATTTTCCAGTTTCATTTTCCATGAGGCCCTGACATTACAGTATTTCCTATCCCTGAGATCTATGAAATTTCCATGTTCTGTCCACAGCCCCCATTTCTACTTGAGTTAGTTTAACTGGATTTCTTTCAGCCACGTCGCAGTCACAAAGTGTGACTCATTCAATAGATAAGCTGAACTCCGTGGCAGTGTTCATGGTGACCAGATTTAGAAACAGGAGCAATTTTTTTTTTTTTAATGGGGGGAAGACTTTGCTTTCAGGAAATAGAGGTCAGAGGGCCATGAGTTGCTTGCACACAGAGGTTTGAAAGGCACCTGTAGGCAAAAAAATGGATGCCACAAAACACACCATTTGGAGGTGCTCCAAAATTGCTCTGGAAAGCCTAAAAGAGAAGCCTAGAATGGGAATATGTGACCCACAGTTTTGCTAATGAGAAGCACTCAACTTTGTGGGAAATCAACAGCCCCCGGAGCTCTCAAGCACTTCGCTTCCCCTCCTCCCATCTTTCTCCCAGCACAATGCATGATATATAGTGAAAAATAATAATTCTTATTAGTGGAGGCATGAAATTCTCTCCTTCAGGAACCACACCGGAAGGCATTTTTCCCTAGTCATTCTTTAAAGAACACTCTGTTTTCCACCCCTGCTTAACTCTTCAGAATTTTTCTTAATTCTGTGGCTTATGCTCCTCAACTTAGGGACCACGGGGAGACAAATCAAGCTTGTTGTTTTTAAGAAGAGGGTGGTATGGAGTGATCGTCCAATAGTCACTTCCAACTGCCATCTGTGATAAGTCTGTAAAACATTTCGTTTGCATAATATATGGGAACGCTGTTAAAATACAGCACACTGTTAGAAGAAGGGGGAATATTCTAAGTCAAATTATGTCTCCTCATAAAACAGTCCCCCTGCTATTGGCAGCAAAGCAGAGTTCTTCAGTATTGCTTTAAATTAAAAAAAAAAAAAATCGGCTGCGCAAGGAATTACCAAATAGACACTGAACCTAGTTTAATCCAATTCTGTAGACATGTTGTGAAGTTATAATGAACACAAGGCTGAGCAAAGGTCATTTAGCAGAAATATGCCTGTTTAGAGTGAACATCTTCTCTGCTCTGGGGTAAGCAAGGACAGAACAGCAATCAGTTTACAAAAGCAGGCACTGTGGGCCATCCATAATGTAGACCTATATATTTGACCTAAAAAGGCCACTGCTCACGTTTCCAGAAAGGAAAAATGTATATCAAATGCTTTACCTGCAAGAAAAGATCTCTGTGTTTAGTCAGAAGTGGGCCAGCAAACTATCGGGACAGCATGCTGGAGAATCTAGTGAAGGAGTATGGAGGGTCCTTGGGCTTTTCATTCATTCCCTGTCTCCGTCTCTAGAATACTGACCTAATTGCTCTAAAAAAGGATACTTTGCTTGTCTAGGTACCGAATTTTCAAAGCAATGCTATTCTTCTTAGGTTCAAACCAGATTGTGGCTACCAATGTGGTTTTTCTAAAAGCCGCCAGGTTAGCAAAGCAAAGACCATGGTAGTTATTTAGTGACTGGTCAGGTCACCTCCACAGACTATCCAAATTTCAATGATCACTTAGAGGAAATTAGAAGGGAAAACAGGACAGGAGAGAATGGCAGAGGGTGGGTTACCTTCAGTGTTTTAATTAGCCCAATCTAATAAAGTAATGTGAATTACCATTGAACAGCTTAAACATCATTGTTGAAGAATTCCTATTGAAATGTAAGCCCTGGAAATAACCTTCAGAGGCATTTTTAATTGTCTGGTTCCAACTCTGTATAGGGTGTTCAACTCAAGGCTGGAAAAACGTAGAAGTGGTTTTGCCTTACAAACAGTGTGAATGACAGTCACTCCTATGTCCTATTCCTTTTAAGACAGATGGTGAGAGCACAGTTTACTGTTCAGTTTCAATTCACTGCTGCCTTTTATAAGCAACATGGTTAAGCAAGCTGCTAAAGAGAAAGGCTCCAAAGCCATTCTGCTTAATTTTAACAATACCAGGATGAATCCTCATGCTTTGATATTATGGTTCACTTCCCTGTAGTGTTTTATGAAATTTGCCTTAAATTTGTCATCCCAAACTCATGACGGATGGAATTCAGATGGTCTCCTAAAAATGAAATCTAGGAGAAGTTTATAATTTTCTGTGTCATTCCTGACACCATTGTCCATCTTTTGTTTTGCACGGGTGTTTCTCATTTTCAGGTCTCTGCCTCAATGTGCTTTTATGGCCCCATTTTATTTCCACATGCCACCAAAGAGAAGCAGAGATGCTCTCCAAACTTGAATAATCCCACACCTGGATTTGTGTTTTCCTTTATACTGAGTGCTTAAGGTGGACCAGTCACTGTACTAAATGCTTAAAGTCTTTATCTGTATTAATCTCACACAACTGTGAGATCCATTTGATAGATGAGAAAACAGAGACTCAGGTTAGGTAGCTTTTCCAAAGTTATATGGCTCATACACAGCAGAGCAGAAATGCAAACCTAGGTGTAAGGTTACAGCCTCACGTGTTAACATACTTCACTAATCAGCTCCTGCCCTTAAATCTATTGCTCAAAGGGAATGCTTCAGCAATGAGTTTAATAATAAGGCCTGAAAAAGAGCAGTGTTACCTTTGAAATTCCAATCCAGGCTTCCATTTTGGTGAATTCCCACCGGGCCACTAAACACCTGTGTTATTTTGTGCCTAGACCAGGTGGAGGGAAACTGATTTTCTTTGGGGTGGAGACAAAGAGTTCATGCAGGCTTTGCCCCATAAAAAAGGCTAATGTGTATAACTATACTCTCCCTTATGTTTAATCCCATACCACAGTGCAGTTTCCAGAAGTTCCGAGATCCAGTCTTATAGCCATGCTTGGAGCCCAGAGATTGGCGCTTAGATATTCAAGTATTTGTTGAAGGAATGAATGAGTGAATGAATGAACAGAGGCTTCATGACTTCAAGAGACCTCAGTGTAGGAGACTTTCACTCTATGTCTTGCTTTCACCAATTATACTACAGATACCTTTCCATTGCCTGGTTTGTGATTGCCAGTTTATTTATTAACCTAACAAATCTCCACCCCAAAGCTTCCCTTGGATCTCTCCCCCTTATTGAAAAATCTGTGTCCACCCACAAGCTTATCCTTAGTTTCAGAATGAATTTCCTCTCATGATAGTTTGATACTATTTTCTCCATACCTAGCCTCCAAGGGATAAAGGGGTGGGGGGAACCAGAGATTGCTTTTTTGTGCTTTAAATTAAAGATAAATCATCAGACTTCTTAAAAATGAAATGTTAATAGTCTATCATTTTCATTCATACAAAAAATATTTTTTGAGTTCCTACTGTGTGCCAGGTATAAGAGCTGTGGATAGTCTGAGGATGCAAACCAACCAGACAAGAATCTTTGACCTTGTAGAACTTAAATTGCAAAGGAGGGAGCCAGTAGTGAGCCAAACAGACAACTAAAACACAGGGTGTATTAGGAGGTGATAAGCAGCAAGAAAAGAAACAAAGAACAGCAGTGGGATAGGCAGTGATGAGGGCAGGGTGCAATTTTTAAAGGATAGGGTGCTTATGGGTTCCATTACAGCCCATCACAAAGGTACACTGAAGTCCTAACCTCCAGTATTTCAGAATGTGACATGATTTAGAAATAGTCTTTGCAGACGTCATTAGTTAAGATGAGGTCATGCTGGAGTAGGATGGGCTCCTAATACAATATGACTGGTGTCCTTCTAAGAAGATAGTGTGAAGACACACAGGGAGAGTGCCATGCAGTGAAGAGGCAGAGGTTTGAGTCACTCAGTTAAAAGATTTAAGACCACCACAAGAAGCTGGGAAGAGGCAAGAAAAGATTCTACCCAGAGTCTTCGAGGCAACATGGCCCTGCTGACACCTTGACTTGGGACTTCTAACCTCCAGAACTGTGGGAGAATAAATATGTGTTTTAAGCCACCCAGTGTGTGCACTTTGTAATGGCAGCCCTAGGAAACTAAAATAGTGGAGGGGCTGGGAGAATCCCTCAACTGTGAGGATGACATCTAAGAAAAGACTTGAAGTTGGTGATCAAACCACATGTGTAGCTATCTGGGAGAAAGGGAACAAAAACTACAAAGGCAAAGCAGTAGGAGCAGACTTAGTATATTCATGTGGCTACAAGGAGGCCACAGTGGCTGGGGTAGGGTGAGGAGAGGGTGTATAGTCAATGAAATCCAAGGGTAATGAGATCTAAATACCATAGAGTCTTGTAGCACAGTAGTGCTCAAACTTTAGCTGGGTATCATAATTACCTGATGAACTTGTTAAAACACAGATTGCTGGGCCCACCCCTAGACCCCCAGACTTTTCTGAATAAGGTAGATCTGGGGTCAAGCCTAAGAATATACATGTCTAACACATTTCTGAAGCCGATATTTTTGGTCCAGGGACCATCTTTGAGAAGCATGGTTGTAGAGCATCATAATGACTTAGGTCTTTGTTCTAAGTTAAGATACAAGCTATTACAAGGTTAAAGCAGAGGAATGACACAATATGACCTCTATTTTAGCAGGATACTGTGTTCATGGGTTGGGAATAGGCTCTAAGAGGTGACAGGTAGAAGCAGAGAGACCAGTTATGACATTATTGAAATAATGTGAAGCATGTATTTAAAAGTTGATATGAAAAATTAACAACACAAGAAACAGCAGGTGTTGGTGAGGATGTGGAGAAAGGGGAACCCTCTTATACTGTTGGTGGGAATGAAAAGTAGTGCAACCACTCTAGAGAACAGTATGAAGTTTCCTCAAAAAGTTAGAAATAGAACTACCCTATGATCCAGCAATTGCCCTATTAGGTAGTTAGCCAAAGGATACAAAAATACAGATTCAAAGAGGTACATGCACCCCAATGTTTATAGCAGCATTATCAACAATGGCCAAGCTATGGAGAGAGCCCAAATATCCAATGACTGATGAATGGATGAAGAAGATATGAGATACACACACACACACACACACACACACACACACACACACACACACACACAATGGCATACTACTTAGCCATCAAAAAGAATGAAATTTTGCCATTTGCAATGATGTGGAGGGAGCTAGAGTCTATGATGCTAAGGGAAATACGTCAGTCAGAGAAAGATAAATACCATAAGATTTCACTCATATATGGAATTTAAGAAACAAAATAGATGAACATATGAAGGGGGAGAGAGAGGGAAACAAACCATGAACAACTCTTAAAGAGAACAAACAGGATTGATGGAGGGAGGTGGGTGGGAGATTGGCTAGATGGGTGATGGGTATTAAGGAGGGCAAGTAAATACAACTGGGTGTTGTATGTAAGTGATGAATCACTGAATTCTACTTTATTTCACTGTATATTAACTAACCAGAATTTTACTGAAACCAATATTTCACTGTATATTAACTAACCAGAATCTAAATAAAAAATTGAAAAAAAATAAAAGTAGATATCAACTAGTATGTGTTACATATGACCCAGGGTTTTTTTGGAGAGGGCAGGAGCATGTGGGTTAGTCCACAGAAAGTGAATATATAACTAAGAGACCTAAGTTACCTGGTGCCTTGAGAGCTTGGCATTCTTAGAGGACAACTCTTATTTAATATGAGTTATATTACCTCTGAGCAGCACTGCCTTCCCTCCTGTCACCTCCATGCACAGCCAATTCAGCAATCAAGGCCATGTCACATCTTGAGATTTTTAATGGGCTCTGTAGGCCATCCACTGGAGTTTTGAATTCTTGGATTGCTTTTAAAAGAGAAAAAGGTCTCTTTCCTCCATCCTAACACCAACCCAGAATTCTTTGAATTTTAAGAGTTTTTGCTTGAGTAGCTAATGAGGACTCTAATACATATGTCCTGTTAAGGCTCTCAGATCATTCCCACAATGACCTTTAAGAAGGTCCTAAAATAGATTAGAATATATGTATCTTTTTATATAAAGCCTAAACCTTACCGTGGAAGAAATTTCAAATGTGAAGAATAAAACAAAATACTAGGGTTAATAATGACCAAAAAAGTAACATTTAGAAGGAATAATACATCCAACCTTTACAGAGCATTTGATTTCTATTATCACATTCTTTTTTCACTCCGTGTGTGCTCTCACCTTCCTATTGATCTATCATCCTGACAAGATAACAAGCTCATAACATCTACCCAGACTGCTTCAAAACATAATGGTTTTATTTCTTGACTGTTTGAAAGACATTTTTATTTTGTAATTGTTTTTTGTAAAGACCTTGACTTAAAAAATGAAGTCTTTTTAACGTTTTATTTATTTTTGGGGGGATAGAGAGAGACAGAGCATGAACGGGGGAGGGGCAGAGAGAGAGGGAGACACAGAATCGGAAACAGGCTCCAGGCTCTGAGCCATCAGCCCAGAGCCCGACGCGGGGGCTCGAACTCACGGACCGCGAGATCGTGACCTGGCTGAAGTCGAACGCTTAACCGACTGCGCCACCCAGGCGCCCCAAAATGAAGTCTTTTTAAATAACCAGAATCCTGGAGAAAGACATAGCCTTTCTGCTGCAAGAGAAAAAGTGAAGCATCCTCAAAGTCTTATCTAGACCAATGGAATGCTGGCATACTCTATCATTAGCTCTGTGACCTTAAGGTAGAAATTAACTTCTGTTTCTCAGCATCCATATCACTAAGTTAAGGGAGTTTGGACCAAATCATGAAGGCCCTAGTAAGCTGGAGAATTTGCTGATTTAAACTGTACCATTGTAGGGGTGCCTGGGTGGCACAGTCGGTTAAGCGTCCGACTTCAGCCAGGTCACGATCTCGCGGTCCGTGAGTTCGAGCCCCGCGTCGGGCTCTGGGCTGATGGCTCAGAGCCTGGAGCCGGTTTCCGATTCTGTGTCTCCCTCTCTCTCTGCCCCTCGCCCGTTCATGCTCTGTCTCTCTCTGTCCCAAAAATAAATAAAAAACGTTAAAAAAAATTAAAAAACAAACAAACAAACAAAAAACTGTACCATTGTAGCCTAGATTTATTTTGGCTTAAAAAAAAGGGAAGTTTTTTTTTTTTAAACGTCTATTCACTTTTGGGACAGAGAGAGACAGAGCATGAACGGGGGAGGGGCAGAGAGAGAGAGGGAGACACAGAATCGGGAACAGGCTCCAGGCTCCGAGCCATCAGCCCAAGAGCCCGACGCGGGGCTCGAACCCACGGACCGCGAGATCGCGACCTGGCCGAAGTCGGACGCCCAACCGACTGCGCCACCCAGGCGCCCCAAAAGGGAAGTTATTTTAATTGTGTTCTCTCTGTTATTAGAACTTTGACCCAAATTCAAAACTTACAAAGAATAGGCTGGTAGCATAAACGAGTGAAGCAAATGAACAAAGGAAACAAAATCAAGGACTAAGAAGTGGTCATGTATTGGTGGCGGGCGGGGAGGCGCATGATGACCTCAAAATGAAGGATATTTGATACTGAGCTGCAGCCTATGTGTCCATACTAGACAGAGAGACTTGGATTTGTTAGAGTTCCCAATGCTTTACAAGCTCTAAATATTCATTTTTGTTTAAAACACCTTGATACTTAACCTGATGATTACCAGAGGGGAGGTGCATGGGGCAGATGGTTGAAATAGGTGAAGGGGATTAGAAGTACACTCATCTTGAAGAGCACTAAGTAAAAAATGGGACTGTTGAATCAGTATATTGTACACCTGAAACTAATATAACACCATTAACTCCTGAAACTAAGCTAAAAAATAAAATAGGCATAAAAAAACTGCCTTGATTTTTAAATGACAAGTAATTAAAATTAAAATCATCATCATCATTGGGCAGGCCGAACCAACATATCTTCCAGCTGAATCCAATCTACAAGCTGTTAGTTTGCACGATGAAAGCCATATTGGTTAAGATTCATCCCTTCAGGGATTATTGTTGCATGGAAGTTTCCATGAAGGGAGAATCAGGTTGCATGAGTCCTTATCTTAATTGATTTTCTTGTTGAAAAATAACTACCAATCTCATGCATACCCCTCCAAGGAAAAAGTTA